ATTGCAATCAATATTTACTAACGTTTTTATTGTTTTCGTGCCGTCAGAAAGCGTAGTCTATTCGCCAGACAAAAACGACCAAATCGTAACCCTATCCCAGACAAAAAGGACACCCTATCCCAGACAAAATGCCAAAAAATGATACCCTACCCCAGACCCTAGATAAGATTCGCGATTGAAAGGTCATTATAATCCTTTTTTTTTTTTTTTTTTTGCTTTCTAATACCAGGGGAATTACCGAATTCCTAGATGATTCGAAAGGTCATTCAATTTCCGCGTCTTCAGCTATTATTAATCTCGAAATTGTTTGTGGGAACTCCCATTTACAGTACGTTGGAATCGCTATCCGTCTCTAAAAAAATTCTTAAACAAAAGTTGAACTAAAAAGCACTAGCTACATTTAATTATTGTTTGCTATTGATATTGGGTATAAAAATTTTGTATGAATACTAGCTCCCCATTAATTTGGCCCAGGTTCACTAACACCACTACCACTACATTCAAAATTCTGTTCGTACAACTCTCTTTAATTCCCAAATTTTGATTTTTACGGACGGTGAAAAACCAGCAGAGAACCTGCTGTAGACAAACCCTGGTAGGAAAGGAGAGAACAACACATCAAACAAACTCAACTCACATGTTGATTTTATGGAATGTTGGGAGAACACTCGAGAAGCTGGGAACCACTCCGCTACGCGTCGTGGTTTCCTACGCTTCTCTCGTGTTCTCTCAACATCCCGCGTGTTTTGATCAGAGTATCAAATACGGAAAACTGTTTTTGATCTGTTAAACAATAAACATTCTTGAATATCAAGAACTAGTCTGAACAGTAACGCTGACATTAGACTTTTTTTTGCTGACATTATACTTTTGTTAGATCTGGTAATTAAATCCGCGTATCTTATATCAACCAATAGGATGCTTGCAAATATTGTCACGTAGCAGTACTTAAGGCGCGTCTAACTATAAAACGCAATGCATTCTGGGATAGGCTTCACTCCTCCCCTGACTTGAACCAATGATAGCTGCGCGGAAATGTGGTTTATCCAATTACAATGAACCTACGATCGCGGCACGGTTTATCTGTTTGAACCAACTATATTCGGTGTCAGTTCTAGATGACAAGCTGACTCATTCAAGCGTCCAAGGTTTGTTGGTGAATCGAGTTCGTAATTGATTCTCCATTCCTTTAAGAATATGGCTTCGACGTCCCATCTTGTCATTAACGAAGAGCCAGGTATAAGACTGTTTATTACTCATACATCCATTTCAGAAAACGTAGTCGGTCGGAGTCTGAAATCTGAAATCGTAGACCAGTATCAGAAAGTCACACGTACAATGGGCAAAATAACTGAAGTGATCAAAGCTGTCTATCACAGAAATGTGAAAAATGTGAAGCTATGAAACATCGATGTATTACAGGACTCGCTTTAAATGTCAATAAAACAACAAAGAACTAAACAAAGTACAAATTGGAAACGAAATATAAGGTTGATTACCCAACTTGCCTGTTAAATTGAGCATTAAATCCAGCGAGTTACTTTGATATCTGTGTAATTATGAAGGGAAGTCAACAAAATGCACAGGAAGGGCACAGGGTAGTAGTCACGAGATCGCCGAATGCAGTTAGATTCATATTTCAGCCAGAAAACTTTGAAGTGCCTATGACCTTTGTTTTTTATTTCTATATCAAAATATAAGCCATTCTAAGAAACGTGTCAAAAGAATTTTATGAGTCTGACGCCTCTTTATATCCTTTTCGAGCGGTCAAACATGTAAAAATCTGCAATTCTTTGGCCTCTGGACTATAATGTCAAAGGAGCAAGTTGATTTTGGTCGATGCCTCCTCATTCTCTCAGATTTCACTAGTATTTATGATCAATTTGCCGTATTTTTAATTTTCCAGAAGGCCTCATATTTGTGGCTAGAGGATGTTAAGGACTTCAGACTTCAGGAGTGAAATTATTTTTGAGATATTTTAAGAAAAAGAAAAGCAACGAGAAATTAAACGCAGCCTAGGGAAAAACCTCATATTTTTATTGGAGCGAATTCTCGTTATAGACCTTCGCACATTTCAACATACAACATTGCTTCGGCTGTTTGTAATGTGCGGCGATCAATCTACTTTTTATTCAGAACGGCTTATTTGAATGACAGAACTGGCCGAACTTCCTTCAAAACTCCATTGGAATTGTTTTGTTTGTTTTTTTTTCGTCTTTTGCTATTTTTTCTAAGATCTACGTCTACATTGATTATTTTCTTAAGAAGTCACCTAGTACAACAATTGATCAGTAATAAAACTTCRCTCGATCGAGTTTTAAGAATTTTTGCTGAATACCGCCGTCACTTTGAGCTGTATCTATGGAGAATAAAGTCCTTCAGAGCTTGAAATCAGACTCTCGTCTTGAATTCTAATGAAAAGAGCTTTTTCGATGCATCCGGCTCGATCTACGAGTGTTCTGAAAAATCGAAATGTTGACGTTGTACATAAGTGTTTTTGTTTACTTTAATGCACCAGAAAAAAAGGTTTGACTCATTGAAATTTTATTTCAGGCGTTAATTGTATAATTTTACTTCAACTTGCATCTTAACTTGATTCTTTTAATATGATTAATACACAGTGGGTCCCACGGCGTCCACAAGTGCTAGAAATATCCCACATGCATGGAACATCAGCATTTCGTTTCCTCATATAAATATCAAAGTAATCTATATTGTATAAGAGCTTTGTGCTTGTTAGTGTCGTGTAACATCGTAAGCAGATGACGTAATACGAGCGATAAACGTTTAATTATCGATCTGCTAACATCTTAGTAGTGAGTGAGTGAGTGCATGAGCGAGTGACACATTTGCATATTCAGACCCCTCACAATAACTCTTTTCAACGCTTCGCGTATCCACGAGTTATAAACGACTTTCAATCTTTTTAGTTAATAAGATATATACATGAAGTTGTCGTTAAATACTACGCGGTAATAAAGCTGATAACATTGACTTGTCACTGAGTTTTGAATCGTTTTACTAACCAAGTCTTATTCCATTAAAATGGTTTGGATATTAAAAACACTTTAAGTGTACATAACAAGTATGAAAGATATTTTTAACTTTTATTTGATTCAGACGAGCAGAAACTAATAGGTCGGGAATTCCAAACCCGATCCAAACAAACCAATCGGTTTAACACAGTATTTCAACAATATAATCAATATCGAGAGATCGAGAATTTCAAAAAGTTAGCGAAAATCAAATGAAGAGATAACTAGCTCTAAAAACTAGTGTGAGCTAAGTCGGTGTTTCTAATGAAACAGTAATGATAAAAAGGTAAATTATACACCTTGAAAAGATGAAAAAACTTACTGACGTTTCGGACGCTAGTCCTTCGTCGGAGTAAAAAGAAAAAAGTGTAGAAGAACAAATCGTTGAATGAAGAATTTTTTTTTTTCGCCTTCTTCTTGCTCTTATTATTATTATCATCATCATCATCATCATCACTATCATTATTATTACAACTCGACATCTGTTTCAGAGAATTGAATAACACTGTCGCAGCTCTTCATCCATTTATAGACATCTTCTAGTAGATCATGATATCAACCCTAAATCTATTAACGAATTTTGCTAAGAATTTTGCAGTCCTGAAGTGTCAAGGAAAGATGGATTGTCTGATATATGAAATCCTCCTCATTAAAAAGTACAAACCAAGGCTTAACATTCAATCAGGCTCAATACGTGCTAAAGTATTTACTTTACTTTGGCTCTTCTTGTATAAAAACAATGGACGATTCTCAGCTTAGAACAATAGACTATTGTTTGCGGTTTGTTTCTTACTTTATGTAAATATTTTTTCAGAGTTAGTTTCTTGATGATGATGACAGGATGTCATAGAAACGTCGAAATCTATCTGCGTTAGTTTTTCTGATTAATTTGATAACAAAAGTCAATTTTATACATAATTATTATTTTA